TTTTTTTTTTGTTTGTATAATTTGTGAATTTTCTAATTTAAGAATTTATCAAATTGATACTCACATGGATAAACAAATTTCTACGAAAAACTTTTCACGGAATACTGAAAAAGAAGAAATTTACAAAAATGTTAATTGAAACGTAGGGAAAAACAAATTAATAATATGATTATTACAATTTTTTTTAGATTTGTAAGATTTGTAAGCCACTAATTTTTTAAAAAGCAATTCAACAACGTTTTATGATTTAGGAAAAAACTTGTTTAACATTGTTAAGAAACTTGATAATGCAAACGGGCCGTAAGTTTTCGTTGTTTTAGAAAAAAGAAAAAACGTTGTCGCAATCTTACATTATTTTTTGTAGCAGAAGTCTGATTGGAGCAACAATGGACAAATTTTTTTAAGTAATTGTTTTTGACAAATTCAGAATAAATAAACTTGTATGAAACATTTTAGTGAAAAAAATAAACAAGTTTTTTTGTATAGATTAAATCATGTATTGTACTCCAAATATTTAAAAAAAAAACTTTATTGTAATTTTAGAGTAACAATTCTTATTTATTAAATATTATTGGAGAAAATTATTGTGTCTCGTGTGAAAATGATGTGCACGGCCAAAAATTTTGAACTCAATACCTAATTATAGTTTAACATCTACAAATCTTATTGGCTCTTCAATCATCCGTATATAGTTTATTGTGCTAATAATATAAGGGAAAAAAATTTATTATTATTTTTTTTTTTTAGCGTTTTGGGTTTTCCAGTATTTTTAGTCCGAAATTCCGTTGAGGAAGATGGATAATCCTGAAATAATCTTTGGCCATCAAAACAAACATTGATTAATTAACGATTTTACCTCAATTCGTTTAATGATATACACGTTTCATATCATTAATCGATTAATTTTCACGTTATTAAACTTGATTTTATCCTTAAAATTCTAAAAACAAGCTAAACTTTAATATTATTCTTTTTTTATGTTATATTATTCTTTTTCTTTTCTATTTTCTGGTTATTAAACTAGTTTCCTTTTCTTTTTGTAGGGATTTTCACCGGATTTTTATCACCGTAACTCCTAATTTGAGTCATGATGAGATAATTTTAAATTTATAAATTGTTCAAAATTGATAATTGATTTCTTTTCGACCGAAATTAGTCCCTCATAACAAATGATGCCATTTATTTATCACATTGTAACGCGTTTGATATGAATCATATAAACATTTTTTATGGTTAGTGAATTTAAATGAATTAGTAAATTTATACTAAAATTACTTAAAAAAATCAATGAAATCATTAATTATTCTTATTGGTCAAAGAATTGAAAATAAAAAAAATTATTTTTTATTATATTACAATAGGTTAAATTTAATTTTCCGAACATAAAAATGTCATCATCAAATTGTTTATTGAGTTTCAAAATAATTGAGTTTCAAGTATCGGAGATTATAACCGGTACCTTATATTTTTCTCATTACTATTTTAATGTAATTCGGTCCTCTATTACGTTTACGTTACCCTTTTGTTATATTTTGTTATAGGCAATTTATACCTTTTAAATTCCTTTTCGATCCAAACAATTAAAATATACGGATTATCCTCCGTAAAGAATATATATATATTTTTTTTAAGTAAAGTAAGTATAAAAAAAAAATGTATGACAACATTCTTGCGTATAATAATTATTAGTATTTAATATTTTTTTTTTTTTTTTTTTTTACAATTCTTTTTAAAAAATAGGAGATCCTTAAAAAAGAACAATCTATAAATAATAAAAAAGATAAAAAAACTTTATTTAAAAAAAAATATATATTGTTTAATTAAAATCTGCGGTGATACAAACAGAAGAATGTAAGGTGAAATTCATGTATTGTATTAGAGTAACGTGACTCTTGTCATTTAAAAAGAAAGTTTTGAGTGACTTAAAATTAACATCAGGGCGTGCAAAATGTTTTTGATGTGTAACGAATAACACGTCTTACAATTGACACGCCACAACTTGTTTAGAAGTACCGTTTGTTAATCTTTAAAATTGACAATGTAATCAAAATGTACTCTCTATGTACTCAAATGTACTCAATATGTTCAATGTGTTCAATGTGTTCAATAGTTTTCAATAGTTTCAATGTGTTTAATAGTTTTCAATAATGTTTAATATGTTCAATAGTGTTCCAATGTGTTCCAATATGTTCTCAATGTGTTCAATATGTTCAATGTGTTCAATGTGTTCAATGTATTCAATGTGTTCAATGTTCTCATATGTTCAATGTGTGTTCAATGTGTTCACTGTTCAATGTGTTCAATGTGTTCAATGTGTTCAATGTGTTCAATGTGTACTCATAAAAGAATGTTCTTATTGATATTCTTATTATTTCTTTTACAGGTATGGAATTTAAAATGAAATCCATTTTTAAATAAAGATGTGCATTTAAGCCTTATCATCTATTTTGATGATATTCGTTCTCATTCATCTTTATCCATTATACTTACCATATATATTCTTAATAATAAATTAAGATTTTTCTAATAATCGGAAAACCGTATATTAAAATCGCTAATAAATTTCCGCCAAGGAAAATAAATTTTTTTCTTTTTATACGCGATTATTAAGAAATTAGATAGTTTTGTTTTTAATTCCTAAAAATAGACTCTTATTTTTCAAAAATTATTATAAAACATTCATTGAAATTTAATAATACAATTTTTCTTTGTTCAATTAATTCGTACTAATTAACAATTAACACGTATCATAATGAGAAAATCATACCATATACGGCTTATAGAAGAAGGCGTATATACCTGATAAAGTAGTTAGAATTATAAAAAAAAAAAAAATTCGCGAGATCTTTTACTGCGCATATCGATAACTTATATGCATATTATTATTTATTACCTTTAAAATAAAAACATGTGTTGTGTATAAAATATATATATGGGTCATATAATTATATAATTAATGACTTATTCTGGTAACGAATGAACCCTTTAAGATTACGCCACCGGGCGTTGTGTCGTGGCGCGTGTTAATCGGACTGCCACATTAATAACATATCAATCGGACATAAGAATCCTGTGGCTAAGTCACTTTCCTTTTAAAAGAGAATTCCATCAAAAGGGATTGAATCAAAATAAAGTTCCCATTAGTTCTATTAGAGAACTTTAATGAACAACGAACTGATTAAGAGTTTCAAGATGATCATATGAAAATTCTATTATTCTAATGATCATTATATAATACAAATCAAGTAAATTAAAAAAATAATAATGTTTTAACCAACAATCCATTCATATAATGCATTCACGTGTGAAAGAATTTTTAATTATAGTTTAGTGATTTTTCAATCATAAAAGATTTTTCCCTTTTCTTTTTAAGGAAAATAAAGAAGGATTTAAAGATCCGATGGAAAAAAAAAATTTTCTCTTTTTAATTTTTACCGTTTAAAGAATTTTATTGAAAAGGTTAAATTCCGATTATCGTCATTATCGTCATAGGGACATAAAAGTTTGATAATCATTTTTTTTTTTTTTTTTTTTTTTTTTTTTTTTTTTT